GTGTGCTTCAGATGGAAAATTACTAAAATGCCCTCAACGTTTAAAGTTTTATAGAATCTTCATTACAACTCCAAATTACATTCCGTTTGGGCCCACGTGTTCGTAGCAACGAGTACTACCCAAATACACCAAGAAAATGATTCTTACGTGACACGATAAGGCGGTCAAACAAAATCAACGCATTTACCTCGAAGGGCATTTTCGTACATTCACTTATTAAAATTATAAAAAACGTAAAATTGGGGACGGGTCATTACATATTTTTTGTTTAATTTACTATATTCTCATAACTTTTATACTAGTTATCTTTTTTTTTTTTTTACAAGGTTAATTTTTGTTATTTTTCTCTAAAAAGGACATCTTTATTAGAGCATCAAATACCTTGAAATGTATATTTGTAACATCTTTTTATCTTTAGAAGGTGGCCTATGGTGGAACCAAATTTCCGCACAGCAGTCAGATGAGGAGTGCTTGATGGGCCACCTACAAGAAAGAACAAACAACTGTGAATTCTCAAGCACTAATGGGGTACTGGCCAAGAGATCTTTGACAATCAAGTGAGTAAAAGGGTTTTAGAATTCAAGCAGTAGGTAAGGGAGAAATAAAACAATATACAACGCAGAATGCATGCTATCTGCATACCTTTGATGAACCGTAAATGAGTGTATTTATACTGATCGAGAGAAAGTCCTCTAGGATAGTGAATCCACATAAAACTGGGAGAATCCTAGAAAATATCTAGCATAATATATTATTGTCCACTATAATTGTGATTACTTCGTGGCATATGTCAATCCCTAGATTGTAGGAATCTCTAAGAATATAGAAAACCAATTTGATCCATAATTAGACCATGTTTCGATTACTTGCGGAACAAGCTGGTCACTCTTGACAAGACTTGCAGGCCTTGTTTACCATTCTGGAGTCCAGCTGGGTGTGGTGACACCGCTGGTCCATTTATGACGCCAGCCCGATTGGAGTCGTTTAGTCCATGACTAGACTATGAAGGTGCTCATATTCCGCTCTGCCTTACTTTAACTAGTGAATATTCATTGTATCGCAAATGCCCCTAACTATGATTCGTAAAGGCTGATACCCTTGAAGATGGATAGTTACCCTAGGATCATACTTTTCAAAGTAAATTAGATGTTGTTCAGAATTCTTTACACATGTTGGTCTGGCTGCTTAGTTGTCGTTTGGTAGGGGAGTCATTTTAGATTTAGGCATGTGATCTCGAGAGACATGACTTTATGACTTCGAATTCAACGGTTGTAATGTTTCGCCGTTCTCCCCATAAGCATCTCTCACTTTCCTCACTTTCTCTTCTTTTGCTTTTAACGAACTTCTGTTCTTTCTCCCTTACAAATTCAATAGTAGCCTTCGATTCAATCCATCTAGTTTCAATTCAATCCATCTAGTCCCTTACCCCAACTACCATACAATTTATTCATCAAATTCTGATAAGTTTTTGCTACGCAATTAAGTGCTAAACTTTTTTTTTTTTTTTAATTTTTTTTTTAAAGAAACTGACTTAAGCATCAAAGATCCATTGGCCAAACCCCTCCTCTCACTTTGTGGGCATGCATGGATTTAACCGTTGATCAAGGGTATTTACTTACTTTGTAGGTACAATTTTACTAAACCTGAAGACAACGAAAATTTGTTATCACAATAGCGGTTTTATTGTAAGCTAATGAAATGTGCAAACTTCAAACATGACTTTCTGGATTAAGTCAAATGGGTCTTCAAGCACTTCATAACCCGTCGCACAGAAGATTTCACGTACTAAATCACTATATATCAAAACTAGTAATGGGTTGCATTACGTGTTGATGATCACAAATCGGAACAGCTTTCGATGTTCTCCTCACGAGCAGTGGCGAAGCTAGGAATTTTCAGCAGGAAGGGCGAAATTTAAAAGCATAAAAGGTTCATAAAAAATATAGACAACCAAATCTTTGTACATAATATACAATATTAATATTGTTCGTAACTATCTAGAATACTCAAAGGAGAATTTGGAGTAACCAAAATATTCGAAGAAAGACTATCCAAAAATATTCAAAGAAGGACTATCTGTTGTACCTGGAATATTTGAAGGAGGATTTAAACACTATTTCTTATAGTATTGTTACGCATTACATACTTGTACAATAGAAACAAAATAGATAAAAAGCATATTACGCTACTTCTATATCAATTAAACAACTAATGCAAAACACTGCTTACAAACTGTAGGTATTATAGTAGTCAAACAATGTGCATAGTTATTATTTTTATATAAGTATGATAAAATTTTTAGGGTAAATTACAAAAAACTACCTTAATTATTGGGGTTATGACAGTTTCATACCTCAACTTTTAAAATTGACAATGTCATACCGCATCTTACGAATTTGTGACAATGTCATACCTCCGTCAATTTTTCTGTTAGTTTTTCTGTTAAATGCTGACGTGGCAAGAGATGGGGACCACTTTCTATTAAAATATTATTAAAAACTAAAAAAAATATTTAATATTTTTTAAATATTAAAATAATAAATAAAAGTAAAATTAAAAAAAAAGGGTAAAGTACAAAAAACTACCGCAACTATTGGGGTCACGATAATTTCATACCTCATATTTTAAAATTGACAATGTCATACCGCATCTTACGAATTTGTGACAATGTCATACCTCCATCAATTTTTCTATTAGTTTTTCTATTAAGTGCTGATGTGGCTTGATTTGGGACCTACTTTCTATTAAAAAATTATTAAAAACTAAAAAACAATTATTTAATTTTTTTTAAATATTAAAATAATAATAAAAAGCAGAAGAAAAAAAAAACCCCTCATTTCGTCCCTCCCCTCCCCCCTCCTCCCTCCTCTCTCCTCTCCCCATCTCATCTTCTTCCCCCACCTGCAAATCCCAACAAAAAAAAATCCAATTTGTCTTCCCCCCACACCCACACTCAATTTCCCCACACCCACACCCACACCCACACCCACCCACACTCTTCTCCCTCCTGCAACCCAGAAAAAAAAAAAAAAAAAAAACCCCCAGATCCCGTCGGCGGGAAGATGGGTGAGCAGAGAAGGTGGAGGATGGGTGCGGAAGAGGATGTGGAGAATGGATCAAAGTGGTGGATTTGGGGTTTGATGGGTTTTCCAAATTTTTTTTTTCCTTCTTTTTTTCCTCTTCTTCTTCTTCTTCTTCTTCTTCTTCTTCCGCAGGGGAGTTGATGGTTTAAAAAAAAAAAAATCTCCCTCCTCCTTTTTTTCCTCTTCTTCTTCTTCTTCTTCCTCCTTTTCCTTCTTCTTCTTCCGCAGGGAGGGTGTTGATAGGTTTTCAAATTTTTTTTTTTCTTCCTCTCCTCCTTTTCTTCCTCTTCTTCCTTCTTCTCCTTCTCCCTTCTTCTTCTTCCGCGCCGACAGGGGCGAATTTTTTTTTTTTTCCTTCCTCCTTTTTTTCCTCTTCTTCTTCTTCCTCCTCCTCCTCCTTCTCCTTCTTGTTCTTCCACAGGGGGTTGTTAGGTTTTCAAAATTTTTTATTTTTTTTTATTTTTTTGGGTTTGCAAGTGGGGGGAAGAAAATGAAGATGGGGAGAAGAGAGAGGAGGGGGAGGGGGAGGGGAGGGACGAACTGATGGTTTTCTTTTTTTTTCCTCTGCTTTTTATTATTATTTTAATATTTAAAAAATATTAAATAATTGTTTTTTAGTTTTTAATAATTTTTTAATAGAAAGTATGTCCCGAATCAAGCCATGTCAATACTTAACAGAAAAATTGACGAAGGTATGATATTATCACAAATTCGTAAGATGCGGTATGACATTGTCAATTTCAAAAGATAAGATATGAAACTGTCGTGACCCCAATAGTTGAGATAGTTTTTTGTACTTTACCCTTTTTTTTTTAATTTTACTTTTATTTATTATTTTAATATTTAAAAAATATTAAATATTTTTTTTAGTTTTTAATAATATTTTATTAATTTCTTAATAGAAAGTGGTCCCCGTCTCTTGCCAAGTCAGCATTTAACAGAAAAACTAACAGAAAATTTGACGGAGGTATGACATTGTCACAAATTCGTAAGATGCGGTATGACATTGTCAATTTCAAAAGATGAGGTATGAAACTGTCGTGACCCCAATAGTTGAGGTAGTTTTTTGTACTTTACCCTAATTTTTATATAAAAAATAGATAAGTATACCTAGTTCGGGAAAAAAAAATTAAAAAAAAAAAACCAGAATGAAAAATTAATTAGAGGTGCTTGGGGTTCAAATGACGTGTGGGCCATAAATGTCAAAGGATTTGTTCTATTTGAATAAAACGTCATCGTCCACTTTAAGTGCTCAGCCAAACAACATCGTTTGCTAGGATTTGTTTTATAATATTGCTTCTTCTACTCAGGTTTTGCCCTTCCTCACAAGGTGGTTTCAGGCAGTTTGGGTGGGTAAAATGGGCTTCGGTGAAGGGGTTTTTGGGGAGCCGGATGGGCAACTTCCTACTCTTTCCATAATGTGTGTCCATCCATGGCAGCAGCAAAAGTTGCAGAACATTCTTATAGGTTTTCAGACTAACGAGAGGGGCGGCTACATGCTCCTGGCCTTATTTTCCAACGAGAGGAGGGGCGGACCCAAAAATCCAGTCCTGTTTTCCAGTGAGGTGAGTACAGGTAAAACCCTCTCAAATAGGTGCCAAATCTTAGTCAGACTTAGAAGCTAACTTCCAATTTGGTAAAACATTAAAGCATATTGGCAACCTAATTTCGTTTAAATGCAATCCTTAATTTATCTTCGAAACTGAATTAAAATTATAATCATAACTTGTCACATCTCTGCCCTCCAATCATCTCCTATTTGAATGCTCATATTAAGTTACGTCATCTTGTATTGATTTTTTTATACAGAAAAAAAGACAGAGAAAAGTGAGAGATGAGGAGAGAGGAGGGGAGAGAATTTAGAGGAGAGACATCCTTCTATCAGAAGAAAAAAAATGTAGAATACTGTTATCTATCAGTAAAGCTCGGCTCTCTACATAGATATAAATTAACATTACAGTACCAGGTCTGGAAAGCCTGAAGACAGTGACAACCATGATGAAAACAAACACCATCAAGGAAAATGAATTTTAAAAAAAATACAATCTCTTTTAATTAAGCCATCAGAGCTTTTATTTCACTCTCTATAATATATAATTATATATACTATTTTGTTGTGTATATGGATGGAACCATCCTCAGCAAATCCCAGGCAAGTTATCCCAAGAGCTAGAGGCTTTCCCATGCTCTCCTGTGGCAGTAAAAGGGAACAATGAAGCCATATGCTGCATGTCAAAATCCAAACCGGTATCTGTCACGCCGGAAGAGTGACCATTGGAGAGTTCTCCGCTGTCACTATACCAATCAGAGACCGGCTCAGTTGAAGGGATGAAGCTGAACAGCTTTGACAAGTCTTCAGGCATTGAATTCAGGTGATCATCATGGATGGGTTTTGCTTCTGCATGTAGATAGAGCGAAAAAATGTCAATTATTTATGATAAGCAGATTAATCAACAAACAAGTTGAGAAAGAAAAACTGATTCCTAGGGAAGAGAAAGGGAGAAAGAGAACTAGGTTGGGCAAATAGGTAATAATGGGATGAGCATAAGACAAGCTGTAATCTCAGACTTCCTCGTTCTGAACTCTCAGAGGCGCATAAACCTTATAGATAAAGAAGTTCAGAATAATCTAGAAGCAGGGTCAATATTCTACCATTAAACCATAATATTAATAATAATCTGAAACAATGTTACTTAAGAGTTCCTTTAATTATTATGTCCTAGTTTAGTTGATCATTCACCACAAGCTCTTAAATTAGAATTAGGAAAAAATTTAAATCAGAAGATGAAAGAAGTAAAAAATCACAGCTTGAACAGCGCAGATTTGTCTGACAAATTGATTTGCATGCACACAATTAACCAGGGAATTTAAAAGCAACAGAAATTAATTAATAAAAACTAAAAATATAATTCACCGAATAATGAGCTACCCATCGAGGTTGTGGATTGCAGCCACCGGCGATAACCATCCGACACTTGCTTCTCATCAAACGAACCCAACATCCCATTTCCTCTCACCCGTGAATTATTGTTTCCACCACCGCCGCTGCCACCGCAAGCTAATGCCTCAGCCTCTTGTAACAAGTCTTCCAGTAGCCCATTATTCTCATCGGCCGCTGAAACCGCCGCCACTGTCGAGCTTACCTTGGCTTCAATGGTAACCTCGGAGTGCGTTTGGGAAACTTGGTTTGAAGGGAGCTCCGACTTGACTGAATAAACTGAGCCGGAAGGCGACAACAAGCCATCGGAGTACTCGAACTGTGTCCGCGACATTGGCGGGAAAGGGTTGTTGAAAGTTCTCGGGAACTGAAAGGAAGACATGTCGGGCATCGTGCTAGTGCCAGCAGCTGTCAATTGAAAGGAGGCGATGTCAGGCATCGAACTAGTTCGCAGAATCGAAGTATTCCGTTGCGGGGCGGGCGATATCGGCGGGGAATATCCAACAGAGTCACGGTAGCGTTTGTGGCTGAGCGGGGCGCCGAGGATGGGGGCGGGACGGTGGAAGGTAAAGGAGGGGGTGGAGGCGGTTGCGGTAGGGTCAAAGAGGGGGACGGAAGTGGCAGAAGTGGGTTTGGGTTGGTGAGGGGAGGAGAGAGGAGAGAGAGACGGAGGAGTTGGGGAGAGCGGAGGGATGTGGGGGTGGTGGTGGGTTTGGGTAGGGCTTTGGATTTGGAAGCAAAATGTTGGGGATGGGGAATTATCGGTGTTGGGGTTGAGGGAGTTTTGGGTGGGGGTGGTGGGTGGGTTTAGTACTCCGTTGGGTATGGTTAGAGAAGTGGGTGGGGAATGGGAATGGGAATAGGAATACTGGGATTGCTTGATGTCATGGGGGTATAATGGTAATCCTTGGCGTTGCCTCCTCTTCACCCTTGTGTTCCAGTAGTTCTTTATCTCGTTGTCCGTTCGTCCAGGTAACTAAAAACCAAAAGCAAAATTAATTGAATTTTTGTTTCATAACAGAAAGCAATTGCAGAAAAGAAAAAAAAAACGGCTTTTTTAAAAGCAGGGGAAGGAAGAAAAGAAGCAGCCAAATTCCTGCATTTTGTTTCTTTTTTGGAAAAAACAAAAACATGGGTTTTATTTGCAACACCAAAAATCGAAAACCCAGAAATGAAATCAGGCGAAAAGATGAAATGATGAAAAATAAAAGTTACTTTTTCCAAAAGCATTTTGTAATTAGTAGGTACCTGAGAAGCCATGCGAGCCCATTTGTTGCCGTATTTGGCGTGCAGCTCAAGAATAAGCCTTTCCTCGTCGGGGGAGAAGCAGCCTTTCTTCAAATTGGGGCGAAGATGGTTGGCCCACCGGAGGCGGCAGCTCTTGCCGCACCGGTTGAGGCCGGAGTTCCTCTGCACCGAGTTCCAATTTCCCTCGCCGTGCTTCCTCACGTACTCCACCAAAACCTGGTCTTCAGCGGCCGTCCACGGCCCTTTCTTCAGACCTTTGCTTCCCTCCACCACGAGCACACCACCTCCGTCGCCTCCTCTGGACTCCGGCAGTCCCTGGCTCTGTAGCACTGAACCGCCATTGATATTGATGCTGTCGTTGCTGTTGGGTGTCATTGTCAAATCACAATCAGCAAACGCACCACGGAGACTCTGGTTGGCCCAGCAGAGTCAATATCACACCCAGACACAAAAGATAACAAAAACTTTACGCAATTATGCACTTTTTTGTGGGACCCCTATCCGATCACATATGACGGTAATTTTGGCTTTTATTTGGGGTATGGTATTTGTATTTGTTTCTTTTCTTCGTAATTTTTTGGATGTATAGCGGTATTAGGGCATCACAGAGGCCCCTCTCCTCCTTTCTGATGGTATTTACTGCAACCTTTTAATCCTTTTGGGATTCTGGGGCTGTAGTATGCTCTAGTATGAAAGGAGAAAGAGAGGGGCAGAGAGACCGAGGAGGCGGCGGCGGGTGGCGGTGGTGGGAGAAGGAACCAAAAAATTACAAGAGAAACAAAAAAAAAAAAAAAAGAGATGAGTTTCTGTTGTACGTGGTGGTTGGGAGGAAGTGGCAAACCTGAAAATATATATACCTATGATTTGAAAAGGAAGAGCTGGGTGGGCAGAGAGTATTGAGGTACTCAGACTCCAAGCTGGACCGTATTTTGTAAGCGGCTACCGATCTTTCTGCCCAGTTGGTTTCCAAGTTTTTTTATTTTCGCATGAGAAATCCTAGCTGGAGTGATTATTGTGGTAAAAAGAGTAAATACAGATGGGTTTGGTTATTTTTGGGGGAAGTGGGTAAAGTGGCAGTTGCCATGTCAATCGGATTGGGGAAGGGAGGAAGTTACCTAAGACGCGCCGTATGCTGCCTACAGAGCTTTGCTTACGTTTTTTGAGTTGTTGGGAAACTACTTTTCTTGGGTACACATTCATACCGATCAATTTTGGCAAAAGAATGGAAATTGTCACCCTCAAACAATCATCGCCACCCTCAAATTCCGTCAAGGCGAATGATGAAATTCCGTCCGCCCTAGCTGCTGATAGTAACTGTTGACGAAATACAGTAAAACAAGTCCAAACAAACGAGGCACGGAACGAGCCCGATGTTGCAGAAAGGGAAGCGGAGCCGTGGAGTTTGCTGTCCAGGGACTATCGCGAAATAGAAGACTGACTTTGAAACCCTTTTGCTTTGCCTGCCAGAATTTTGATATGGTGTTAGTGGGAGGGGAGAGTCTGAACTCAGATTGGATTTTCGGTGAGACTTGCGGTAGTTTGGTCGTTGGTGTGTGTATCAAGGGTAGTACTGCCGGACTGAACGACGTGATGGGGCCGGGGCGTGTCTAGATGGGAGGTTTTAGTTATGGGGCGGGAGTTGGTGGTGGTGGTGCTTACCTAGTGCGTAGGGGAAGACAGCCGCGGGGGAGCGTTTCAATGGTGATACGATGATTCTTATCCTGGTTTTGTTTGAGAGTATTTTAAACGAATGAAAACGGTTTTAAAGAAAATATTTATTTTAAACTAATTCTTAATATTGGAAAATCACTTGAAGTGTTTTTTGTAAGAACATTTTCAGGTACATGATAATTCTTGCAAGATGCACGTCAATTACTTAATGCTTGTAGGATGCACTTCTAGTACTTTTGGATATTTTTCTCTAAAAAAAACCTTCAATCATTAAAAAGTAGTTTCCAAACTAGTTCTTAAACTTTTTAAAGATATTTTAAGATTTTTGAGCTATTTCTTTTTAAAATAAAATAGTAATTAATTCAATGACAAAAATCAACATATTAAAGTAATGACTAGAGAAATGGAGAAAGTTACTCAAGACGGCGCCGTATGGTGCCGCTATAGCTTTAGTGAATTTTTTTTTTTTTTAGTTGTTGGAAACTATTTTTCTTGGGTATACATCTATTTCCATACCGATCAATTTTTGGCAAAAGAACGGAAATCATCACCCTATAATTCCGTCCATGTGGATAGTAGAAATATGACTCTTATATTGATTGGTGCAAAATATTACAATATATAGGGTTACATAAATTCCTATTTAGGTAATAATCCTACACTAGTTAAAATGACATTCCTATAATACAGGCAATAATTATAAACATGATTTCGGATTGATTGAGTTGAGCTAGTGCTAACACCTCCCCCCGCCCCAGCACCGGAAACTGAATGTGCTTGGTCTAACAAGTTTGGAACAAAGGAGCCCATGACGAGGTTGATGAAGAGCCTTGATGAAAAGATCAACCAGTTGATTAGTAAAGCGAATATAGCTATACAATGAGTACCAATTGCAAACCTAACAAATCTAAGTGGCCTCAGCACACCTATAAGTAAGGGAGCAATACTCAGACTCAGCACTGGAACGAGTAACTGTGGGCTGCTTCTTGGAGCATAAGGAAGTAAGATTAGAACCCAGATAAATGAAGTAGCCAATAGTAAACCATAGATTATCGAGACAGCCTACCCAATTAGCATCCGAATAAATATATAGGAAAGTAGAAGCAAGTAGAGGGCATAAATGAAGACCAAAATCTAAGGTGCCTTAACATAGCGAATAATCCGCTTAGCATCAATCATGTAGGTGATACGAGGGGAACTTATAATACTGGGCAACAATGTTGACGGTGAAGGAAATATCAGGACAAGTAAGAGTGAGATAATGTAGGGAGTCGACCATTTCACAAAAGGCAGTGGGGGAGGTAAGCAAAGAACCATTTATATTGGTGAAAGCAACCTTGGTAGAGAGAGGAGTCAAGGTCGACTTACAGCAAACCATATCAATCTTTGTGGGAAGGTCATGAGAATATTTAAGTTGAGGAACATGGAGACCGGTGCAGTCACGAGCGTCTAAGATCCTAGGATTATTTTTTCCCTTGGTTTTTCTTCATTTTTTTTTTCCTATTTTTCTTGTGAGAAAAGTCGTCGTTTTTCACCATGGTAGACTCTAAGTTAATTAAGGCATAGAACGATCCCTCAAGCCCTTTCTGTATTCATCACTCTGATAATTTAGGGATTGATAAAAGCATATTTATGCTACTTGGTTATGTTGTTTCCTTGCATTTAGTTAGTTAATTACTACTTATTATAGTCTTTTAAGCTATTTTTGTATGTTTGTAGGTCCTAATGGCAAAAGGAGCAAGAAAGTGCATTTTGAAGCCATTTGGAGCAGTTTTGGGCATCAAATGGATAGCTTATGAGTAGAGCAAGGTGGATGGACGAAATTGAAGTCAAGAGAGGCTAGGAAATGCTACAAATCTGGAGAAACAAGTTCAAATACAAAGAAGATAAGGAAAGAGCAAGAAATAAGGAACATTATCCAACCTTATCTTATCATATCCTAACCAACCTTATCATTTCCTAAATCTAGCATTATCCTATGTTTTCTTATCCAAATCAGTTTGTGCCTTAATTCTAGCTATGTAGAAGGGATTAGTTATACATTTAAATACATAACAACAGATTCTAGAGACCTTATCCCTTGTGTGCGGCATATATGCTATTCCTTGGTGGTTTAGGAGTCGTAATCCCTATCCTACACCTATGCCGTGTGTCCTTGTCCCTTTAGGTCCAGAAATCTGTTCTAAAACATTCTTTCTAGAAGCCCTATCTTTTTCATAAAAAGGTACCGCACCTATTCCCCCTAGAAACCCCAATCTCTGCCGTGTATTCCCTATCCCTTTCCCCTTTGGTTTCTGCCAAACCATAACCTTTTTCCCTTAGGATTGTGCAATCCTTTTCTTTTAGAAATTATGCAAAACCTAGCCTATAAATACAAGCCTTTGCCACAGGTTTTAATCATCCATTCACTCATTCATTCATTCATTCATACATTCAGCCATTAAACACCATAATTCATACCACATCACCCTAGTGCCGTAAGCAAGGAAGGAAGGAGAAGAGGACTTGTGCAATTTGCCATCCAAGGGACTGCCGTGTATGCCATTGGAGTGTGGAGCATTTCTAGGTTCTTTCTATCCTTAGTTTTAGTTTGATGTTTACTTTAATTTGGTTTTCAATTATGATGAACATGTGGAACTAATTTCTTTATAGTTAGAGGTGAATTTAAAGCCATGATTATATGTTTTATATGAATTGATTACATCCAGTTATTGTTTCTTGAGTCTTGAATGTGATTTGCTTATCTAAGTTATCAATACTTGTTTATGTGTGTTGGTTGAGGGTCGACACTTAATTTGCATGCATGAATTTGATGCTAGAGTATAAGGGAGTTTCATGTAATAGTTATTCACTTATATTCACAATTAGTGTAGGTTGCTTGTCACAATCGTGTTAAGTGAATCCTTGGCATAAGTCTCATGCGTTTCATAGTGATGAATGCCTTGTCAATGCTTATGATTTTCACAAAACTTATTGACTTTTGATATGTATCTTTATTATGCGTTTCAAATAAAGAACTTGAGAAAGATAATTTGGTTGTAATGTGTATTCATTCAATTCAATGAAATAAGGAAAATCTGATGGTTAGTTGTGTGATGCAATTAACTTAGGGCGTTGTCATTCATAGTCTAAAGGAATAATAATTGGAAATTGGTTTATATGCATATGTCATGTGTGGAGTAGGACCCTCTAACTAGCCTTTCACCTATTTAATTCACCCAAATTCATTTTTATAAAGTGTTTTATGCAAAGTTTCTGTTTTAAGTTTTAAATTTGTCAAAAACAATCCCCCTTTAATTTAGTCTTGTTATTTGAGTCAAAATCTGTTTTTCTTTTAGTCTTTTGAGTCAGGTTAAGTTTTATTTTCGTCAAAATCACTTGTTAGGTCTAGAATCGAGTCTTTTTTATTGTTTGTTGCTGTTTTGAGTGTTTTAAGTTAGTTTTGAGTCTATAGAGTCTAGTTTAGTGATTTTGAGTCTTATTTGTGTTGATTAGCATCCCTAGTTAATCTCCGGTCCCTACTTGCATATATACTACAATTGTCACAAATAGGGTTTAATTTGTGTGTCAAGTTAATTTTCACATCAAATTTTGGCGCCGTTGCCGGGGATTAGCAAACATGCTAATCCCTTTTGTTTGTGTCGTGTCAAAGTGTGTAGTGTGTTTCTTTGTGTCTTTTTGTTTGTGTTTTGCCATGCCCTTTAAAGTGGTTGCTGATTTGTTTTTGTTCTTTGTTTCAGGTACTAGTTTATGAC